GCTCTGCATCTCAGAGCTCTGTCTGGGTGAAGGAAAAGGAAAGGGGTCATGGCAAATGTTTGCAGCAGGAACAAATGGTCCCCGTCTCTGCTGAGGAACACAATTCCAGCCAACCAACCCACTGTGCTGACTTAAACCATATCAATTCCCACAAAGCATAGCAGGCTATATATATATATATATATCCAGCCAACCAACCCACTGTGCTGACTTAAACCATATCAATTCCCACAAAGCATAGCAGGCTATATATATATATATATATATATGGAAATTTATATCTGTTCCTTACCTGGGCCACATCTTCCACTAGGTCATGGACTGCAGCATGCCACTGATTGGGGAACACCAAGTGGAGGACAGACAACTCATCACCGAGCTAGTCGTCAGCAAGATGAACCAGCTACTGTCCAGGACTCCTGCTCTGTCTCCTCAGAGACCCTTAACTACCCAGCAGCCACAGGTAAGAAACCGCAAAGAGACCCAGCAGTCATGACCCACTGCAGATACCTACAGACCTAGCTGGGATCCAAGCTCTTTTCCCTCTTCCTTCTCTTCCACTCCTTCCCTTCTGGGTAATCTTCAAGTGCCCCCCTTTAGAGGCCCCCTCTTCAGCAGTCTGCAGTATCAGCTACAAAACTACGCAGAGGTAGAGGGCTGGATCTTCACCCTGAACTTGAAGACTCCAGGGAGCTACCTCCCATTTCTCCTGTGACTCAGGATGTCTTGTTTTGAATTAGGAGATCTCTGCAGGAAGTCTGGACCAGATAGTTCACTGACTCTTCACTGCCGTGTGTGTGGCAGCATCTTTCTGAGAAGGCTGCTGGTTTAGAAGGAGGGAAAAGTTAGTCCCCAGTTCCAGGGGAGACTGTCATGGTAAAATTCAAATTAGAAATCTGCTTTTGTTCCTGTGAGAGAGAAGGGGCCTTCCCCAGTACATGTGGTACACGACTCTCATCACGGTGGTAGCATCTCAGATACACTTCTACTGGAAAAATCCACACAAACTTCTGTAGAACGTTAGGCCCAGGAGCTCTACAACAGGCCAAAGAATGGATAGCACCCTGGGCCTGACATTCTGAAGTCTATGAAGGAGGTATCTCATTTTTCAAAACTATATCCAGGGCTCTCACCTCTGAACTTTTATATAGTAGAGGTTAAGAACTTGGACTGTGAATCAACGAGTCTTAGCGAGCTTTCCCCTAAACATCTGTGTAACTTTGTAAGGAATCATTTCCCTTTAGTGAAGTCAAGTTTTGACATTTTGTTAGGATTCTCTTAGAAACCTTCCCTTCAATTCAACCTCAAAGAGTCAGGGGCCTGGAACAGAATAGTGGAGAGTGCCAGCTTTGAAATGAACATCTCCCAGTAATGAATTCTAAACCTGCTTCTGTTGGCTTTATGGCTTTGGACAAGGTCCATTGCAATAGTTAAGAAAAAGTAACCAGAATCCATATCCCTAGAGTTTTATAAGAATTAAAAGAAGAAGAAAAAACCCTAGAATAAGTCAGAACAAATGAAGTACCCATTGAAGGCTAGGGTATGCAATAGACACATTCTGGGTTTGGATCCTACACGAGGCCTGGATAGACATCAGCACCTTTCCTGGAGATGAGGAGTGTCCTGCAACATTACACTGCACTCACTAGCAAACAACCAGCCTTCCAGCAATCCTTCCATGAGAAAGAGTAAAGGGTTCACAGTTTATACTGGGCATGGAGAACCAGACTAGGTTATTTAGGGTAGAAGCTAATGACCCTAGACACTCGAGCATTGCAGAATCCATAGATAGAAACGTTGATATTCAGGATAATGAGCCTGAATTGCCAAGAAGAGATCAGATATTTTAGGCAGTGGTATATATGGCACTTAAGGTAGGTAGAAACATGATGTATAATAAATATTTTCCCCCAAATTGACTAAATTGTGCCAGTTGGTAAGTTAGATCCCTTTCTGGGTCTGTTTGTCCAGTGGATCCAATCTAATATTTTTTGTTTTCTAAAATGTTCTTTAGAGCCAGGCCTGGTGGCACATGCCTTTAATCACATCACTGGAGAGGCAAGGCAGGCAGATCTCTGTGGGTCCTAGTACTACCTTCCAGTGTATAGATTGCCTTGGTAGATAGTTAATGGTAACCTGTAATCACATTGCAGATTTAATTTCAGCACAGGAAGCCTAACGGGACACACTCAAATCATATCTAAACCATAACATCCCTTGTTTTACAAACACCAAATATTTTCAGTTTAAACATCTTAGCACACCATGCTGGAAACCAGGATACTCGGGGGTGGGGGGTGGGGGGTGGGGGTAGGGGTGGGGGGTAGGGGGGATGATTCCCTGCTCTGTTATAAAATCCCCCCTCTCTCTAGACTGTGAAATGGAGTTAAAGTAGGTGATTTCTAGATCTCCTCCGACACCAGGGCTACCCGAAGTTAGCCAGACCATAAAGTTTGAAGGCATAGTCCTCCATTAGACTGCCTTTTCTTCTGACATCAACTGAAAGTTCTAGAATTCCAAAAATTCTAGAGTTCTGCAGGGATCAGGGAACTCACAGATGTTGTGTTCATGGTCACTGTATGTTATAGGAAACGACTCAGATCAAAACCAAGCCACATGAAGATGCATAGTGAAGAATCTGAGCGGGTTCTGAAAGCAAAGCCTCCACCGCTCCTGGGCATGCCCCCCTCCTTCATCTCTGTGTGGTAACACACAGGAATATTGGCAACCGGAGCGGGCACCCAAGCTTTGCTGTTGGGTTATTACTGGGACTTCATTACCTGGCCCTGATTGATTGATCTGATTAAACTGTCTACACATCCCTCCTTCTCTAGATGTCAAACTAATACATGTGGTCTAAGGGGCCCACTTTGAATAACAAAGACACTTTGATCCTTCAGGAAACCACAGGAGTTTAGAAGTTTCTTCTTGGAAACCTGATGTAAAAGCCAAGCCACCGCCACCACAAACTTTTCCCTCCAAGACAGGGTCCTTCTGTGTAACATCCCTGGCTGTCCTGAAACTCATTCTGTAGACCAGGCTGGCCTCGAACTCACAGAGATCCACCTGCCTCTGCCTCCAGAGTGCTGGGATTAAAGGTGTGCGCCACCACCAAGCCTCTCTTAAGGCAAGGCTGAATTCTTTCCTGTACACACGATTAAGTTCATATGAGTTTCCCACATGCTTCCCACTTCTTGTGAGCAATTTGACCAGGCTTGCTCTGCACTTTCCCCTGACTAATGAAGGTCTAATAACCTTAAGACTTACACAGTGGATGAGATGTAGTTCTGCCCAAAAGCCGTTTGTGTCCTGACTTGAAGTGGTGACTGAATTCCTGCCTGAGTGGTGTCTTCTGTTAACTTCCTCCTGAGTCTGTGCTTTGACCCCAGGCTGCTCAGAAGCCAGCAGACACCCAGCTGAACAGTCTGACACCTGGCAAGATGCAGTGATGGCCCTTAAGCCACAACTGTACTGGTCACATTTCCAGACCCTGTTTTCTTTAGATAAGGACACTCCACTGATGATTGAGAAGTCACTGTCATTCTAAGCCCAGGCTCACGGACCAGTCACATCTTCAAACCAGCTGCTTTCTTATTCCTGTGATCCTGCCTCCTTGCCTTCCTGTACTTTACCTGCACCAATCTGTTTCTAAAACCCATTCTCCTCCTGTGATCTGGGTCCCATCTCTGGCTTTAAAGTGCCCCTCTCTTTTTCTTCATTAGTTTATCCTTTTTCAAATGATCGCATCCATATATAAACATCTCCCATTAAAAAACAAAGAACCATAAAATACCCTTCAACCCCTGTTCCCTTCTAACTGCTGCTCAATTCCTCCCCCACTGTTTTACACACTGTCACCTCTTTATCATGCCACATTTCCTCCTCAGTCCACTCCAGTCAGCTGCCACCGCCAGCATCCCCCTGACATTGCTCTTAGCGGAGCCATCTCCATCAACAGTTCTGATGGTCACTTCTCTTGCCGTGGCTTCACAGCAGCATTTGGGGCAGCCGCCTCCTTCAAGACACTCCTTGACAGGCCTCTGTGAGGCGCCCTTGCTCACTTGTCTTTCTGCCTCGGTGGCTTCTTGTCATGCGTGTGTGATGACGGCAGAAACGGACAAACACGTCTGCGCATTTCCACAATGTCAGAATTTATTGAACGGCAATAAATCCACAAGGTGCAGTGCTTTCAATGGACACAGTCTGCCTGATAGCCCCACCTTTCCGTGGTCACCTAGCTAAGGCAACGCAAGCTCCTCCATTGCGATCTTCATTACAAACGTTAACTCTAAGATCGTACACCACACACCGCCCAGTTTCTCTCCCTGTGCGTGCTCGTGGGTTAGAGAACGACCGCGGCAGGTTAAATCAAGAGCTTTCCAGAAGGAGGCTGATAGGAATGTAAATAAAAGTCCGCACTGACGAGATGAGGAACCCAAGCCTCGCTGCTGCAGGGAAGAAGCTGGAGAAGCAGCTGTCACGTCAGCCACAGGTGTCACCTGCAGCTCCAAGAGTGGAGTGTGGAGCCGAGCTTGACTGCAGGGGTGAAGGACAGGAGAGGTCTAGAGGAAGGAATAAACAGGTCTAGGTCACATGGGCAGAAGGGAGTCGAAGAGCCATGTCAACAGTGGGGACTGGGCTGAAGCTCAAGGATAGTCAGGAGTCCTCTGTCTGCATACACACGCTGGTCAGGTGACGGGTTAGCGAGGTATTACCATCGCTGTTCTGGGTGTCTACCCCTGGGCCCAGTGAGAGAGTTGAAGCCTTTCTTGTCTGGTGTGTCTGATAAGTTCTTAGGCCCAGTTTCCCTGGTGTAATTTAACACACCCCGATAAATCTATAAGGTGGTACCTTTTTAACTCCAGGAACAATTCCCTTGTCAGGCTATGCCACATAGACGGTGCTGGCCAGAAGGTGTTGTGTGGATATGCATCCAAGGGCACAGGCTTCCTCCATCTTCAAAATGGAGCCAAAAGCTACTCATGAAATGGAGTCCCTCAGGGCAAGGCACAGTCTTAAAAAAACAACTTTTTATACAACGTAGAATAACTTAAAACAGAGCAGCTGTTAGCATTGACCTAACATTTCCTTCCCAGCTTTCTTTTCTGACCCTCCCACTTCTGATAAATCTCTAGATGTACCCTGAACTTGTGAATTCCCTGGTGAGCTGGGCCAGCCCCTGTCTCTACCCTGCCTTGAGCACTCCTGGCGATTCCAAGTCCCATGTCTAAGGCCTGCTAACACCTTTGCTTGCCTGTCTGAATACAGCAGAGGCAGAGCACAGATCTTGCATCTCTACCGACACCTTCTCCTTTCCCTTTGCCTAAACTTCCCCAGGCTGTTTACATAGGCTGTCACCCGATCTCACCCCTTGCCACCTTGCACATTTTGTGCTCTGTACCTAGCCATGCTAGTCCCAAAGGCCTATCTATCTCGTTTAGCCTCTCCCTAAAATGTCTCCCC